AGACCGGCAGGAGGGCAGGTGGAACAGTCCTGCTCGGAGGGTCGTGGGTGAGCGAATCTCCCCGGGAATATCCCTGGGATTGTGTGTAGGTGGCTCAGGAAAAGTAGGGAGTGAAAGGCTTGCCCTAATCATTTTAGTGGGGCAGAAGCTTGTGTGCCCTTATGAGGTTGTGAGCTGTGCTGGTGGAGGTATGTGCCCTTCCTAATAACCCCCAGTGCCTCCCAGTATCCTCCAGATCCTCCCAGCGTGCCCTGGTGCCCTCCAAGTGCCCACCAATGCTCCCTAGTGCCTCCCAGCCCAGATCCAGTGTTCCCCAGTGCCCACCAGTCTTTTCCCAGTCCCCCCCGTGCCCTCCAATGCTCCCTGATGCTCCCCAATGCCTCCCAGTACCTGCTGGGGGGCAATGGAGGGAAATGAGGTCCCCTGGGATGTGTTTTCCCTGGGATGGAACACAGGAAGGGAAGGGGCTGTCGGTGCCGACCAGGACATGAGAGACAGCAGTGGGGTCGTACAAACTTTAATGCAAATGGAAAAAAAGGAGGAGAGAAGCACAGCAGCAGCACTGATACAGTAACTCTGCTGGGGCCACAATCAGGACATCCCAGGTTCACATTCATTGATTCAAGTAGCGTTCAGCAATGGAAAAATACTTTACACGAGCATATTCAGGCACTCTAGTGCTTGAATACAGTGCATGTAGTGTAAACTGTTAGAGTATAAATATAAAGTAAATATAAATAGAGAATGAGGAAGACTTCTGGAGAAAGAAACCCCTAGTCCATGAAGGCACACATCCACATCATGTCCCTGCAGGTTCACCTCCTTGAGACCAGCTACTGAGGTGACAATGACAAAAGGCACCAAGGTTCCTGAGGTTGTGCTGAGATGTGTCACAAAGCAAATGTTCATCTGTGGAAGGACATCCCTGGGCTAGTGGAAGAAGGAAAGCTGTGAGTCTTCAGGATGGAGAAGGTCCTTTCTCCCTCACTTCTATTACAGGTGAGGTTGGGGTTTGCTGCAGAGATACGCCCACTCTGTTGAACAGTCCTCACTCCTGAGTTTATGGTCCGCCAGGTACACACACTCTGAATTGCCAAGGACCTCCAGCCTGCAATGAGGAGCAGAGACAGCACTGTTACAGGGCAGGGCTGTTAACAGGACAGGTCATCTCTGCCCATTCCCCCCAGCAGATGAGGAGACAAGGGCTGCCCAGGAGGGACAGTCCCAGCAGCCTCATCCCCCCCATCCCCTGCCCGTCCCCCGGGGACTCACGAGGAGTTGTAGCTGCTGCCATCCACCCACTGAAACCTCTTGCCCCGTCTCCGCAGCCCGAGCCAGTAATCCAGGTTGCCACTGAGGCGGAAGATGTGGTCCTGGGAGGGAGAGAGGAGGTGGTCCTGGGAGGGAGAGAGGAGAGGGCAGTGAGAGCTGCCTTGGGCCAGGAACCCCCCTCAGCCTCCCCTCTGCCACCCACACCCCCCAGAGCCCCTCACTCACCATTTCCTTGTCACTGAACACGGCCAGGGAGGCCCCGAGCTCGGAGCACCGATTCTGAGCCTGCTCCCAGGTCCTCCCATCCCTGAAGAGGTAGTAACAGACGCTGTTGTGCTGATCCCAGTCCTCAGGACAAGCCACACGCTGTGAAAACTTAAGTGCAACTGGAGAGACAAAGGGAGACAAAGAATCTGAGGATTCCCCTCCAAACAGAGCATGGACCCCAGCCCTGTGCAGAGGGGTTGGGTGAGGTGGCTGCTCCTCCCTTACCTGCCAGCATGATCACCACTAAAACCAGGATCACACACAGGAGCACAGTCAGCCCTTGGTAGGATCTGAACCAATTGCCTAGAGCTGGAAAGAGACAGTGGCCGTGAGGACGGGGCTGTCCTGAGCAGGCCCAGCCCTCACATACCCCCACCCAACACCAGAGCAGCCAGAAGTGTTGGCACCACCCACTGACGGGGCGAGAGGCCTCTTCCAGACCCCTGGAGCAGCCTCACACTTGCCAGCCCCGTCCTCATGGGGCGACACTGTCCCCTCCCTACAGGACACAGGTGGCCCTGCACTCACCCTGACATTTCCCGAGGATGGTTTTGTGTATGTTCCTTTTTTCTGTTCCATCCCGGAGACTCAGGGACTCCTCTGCATTCTCACCATTCCAGTTAGAAGAGGCACCTTCCTGACCGGGACAAGCCCCATCTTGAACCTGAGCCATCGCTAGGGGTGAAAAAAAACCTCTTTGAGTGCAGATTTAACACCACTACAGATGTTTGCCTTGTGTTCCTGTGACCAGGAACCTGCGACTCCTGGTGCTGGGAGCGGGTGAGGGTCAGAGTGTCGTCCATGTGCCCCTCCTGGTGCAGGATGGCCTGGGGGGGGCCCGGGAGGGTCAGCGGAGGGACCTCAAATCCTCAGGGACCCCCCAGGCTCCCCCAGATACACACAGACCCACAGGAACCTCCCCAGACTCATAGTGACCCCCCAGAGCCCCCATGCCCCTCCTGGTGCAGGATGGCCTGGGAGGGGCATGGAGGGGTCAGAGGGACCCCCGAGGACCCCTCCAAATCCACAGAGACCCACAGAGACACTCCCAGACCCACAGGGACCCTCCCAGGTAAACAGGGACCCCCCAGAGGCCCCCACAGTCCATGTGCCCCTCCCAGTGCAGGATGGCCTGGAAGGGGGCACGGCAGGGGGTCAGAGGGGGGTCCCCACATCCTCAGGATAATGGGTGGGTCCGTTGGTGTGAGGTCAAGGCAGAGCTGGAGAAGCTCTTCTCACACTCCCCACACTTGCAGGGTCTCTCTCCGGTGTGAATGTGCTGGTGCTTGAGAAGACTGGAGTTCTGCTTGAAGCCCTTCCCGCAGTCAGTGCCTCTCCCCTGTGTGTGTCTGCTCATGCCTGAGGACATCTGAGCTGGTCTGAAACCTCTTCCCACATTCCAAGCACTTGTAGGGCCGTTCCCCACTGCGGATGTGCTGGTGTTGGATCAGGGTGGAGCTGTCACTGAAGCTCTTCCCACACTCCCCACACGTGTAGGGCCGTCCCCCAGAGCATTGTTTCAGACTGTAGAGAATAGGTAGAGAACAGTCCAGAGAGGGACTGTGCCCAGTGGCTCCTGCCTGGACTAATGAGTCACTGCTTGTAAACTGTGC